GCGCGGGTGCCTGTGCCGCCGCCCTCCAGCCCCGCCGCCTAGCAGCCCACGCCTCGCTCGCACCATGATCGCCGCGGCTTTCCTGGTCTTGCTGCGACCCTACAGCATCCAATGTGCCCTATTCCTCTTGTTGCTTCTGCTGGGCACCATCGCCACCATCGTCTTCTTCTGCTGCTGGCACCGCAAGCTCCAGAAAGGGAGGCATCCCATGAAATCGGTCTTTTCGGGCCGTTCAAGGAGCCGAGGTAAGACACGCGGCGACGGATTTCTTCGGGCCAGGAGGAACGATTAAGCGGATACCGGGACTGAAGCGCGGCTCGCTCGCTTCTGCGCTGCCTCCCCTAGCCCCAGCATTGCCCACTCCCCAAGCGGAGTACATTTAGGTATTTAACGTCCCTTGCCCCCTTTCCGCCCATTATCCCCTCGTTCCTATCTCTGGGGTTCAGATAACCACCGTGATGCAGAGCTGGGAAGGGAGGTTCGAAGGCAAGATTCTTAGTGTCAGTTTGCTGAAGCCCGGAGGGTAATTGAAGCTCTGAGTCTGAGGCTGCTGCTGCTTCGCTCCACCCACCCATCGTTGGAGCTTAAGGGGAGAAAGTAAGGCATGGAGAGTTTGGGGCTCCCCAACTCCCCCAGAACTTTCCCGGAAACTTCTCGAGGAGAATAACACGTAGAGACTGACGGCCTAGTAACCTCCCCACCCTACAGCATGTCCCCATGGAATTCCAGGTGTCTCAGTGTGCCTTCCCGACCCGTGTCCCTCAGGTAAATTTCTAGTAACTGAACAGGGAAAGAGCAAGGAATTAAATGAAGTCTCATTGTTTATCTTTTTTTTTTTTTCCCCTCAGATGCTGTTATGAGATCTCACCACTTTCGTTCTGAGGTAATTTATTTAGCCCGCACGCTCAAGGTCAGAAGAAGTTCTCTTTCCTGAGTACCCATATTAATCATATGCGTGTTAAGAAACCAGTCGGGCATTGAAAGGCGAGCATGCTGTCCTCAAGCCAAAAGTGACATGTTTCTTTCTAAGCGATTCCCCAACATTAATGCCCAGCCAACGTTTTAGCACTTCTCTAGTGTAGTGAGGTTGCTGTATAAGAGAGGGAAAGACAGCTCCTACAAGCACTATCGACCTTAGAAAACTTAGCCTCAGGGTGGATCTTTGCTTCACTTACAGTCTGTAATTTGCTGGTGGAAGCTTTTCCGGAACCGTCAGCTGATTGTGGTTGTTCACTTGGGTACCCAACGACAGAGAAGAGGTTTTGGGAAGGTAGTACAGAGCGATTTGCTGCATATGCATTTCATTTTAGACCCTGAAGTTCACATTCTGAGTCACTTATAAACTCTCCGTGTTTTTTGGGGGGCCCTATGGTGATTTTTTGAAAAGTAATCCTGATAGTGATCTGGCTTGATCTGTCAGTGTATGGGCCATCCCTCCTTCACAGATGACCTGGGTGCAGTGATTAGGGGAAGTTGCTGTGAGGTCAGCTTCACCAAAGATAGAAAGAACAAAACCAAATCCACAAGCTCTTCCTGAGCCAGCATTTTCAATGAGTTTGTAGGCCAACCCCCACTTAGTGTGAGATCATCTTCCCTCTTTTTGGGAGCTTTTAACATAGCCACGCTGGGAGGTTACTGGTATCAGTGCTCTGGCAGTTTGCTCATCTTAGCAAAGAGTTCAGTTAGATACCTTCCATGTATTTGTCTTTTACCTGAGAAGTTATTTACATTTCATTTCATGAGTTCATCAGTTGTTTTATTACACCATTGATGCTTTATTGGATTCTGGCTGCTTGAAAATCTTAACTACATTAACACAGTATCATAATGTTGCACAATGAAGAATTCTGTAACCCTGGGGGGGGGGGTGACAACTCCATGGGAAAATTAAGGTTTTGAAAGAATAAATTAACCAGTCAGATGATCAGAGGTTTCATTCCTGTCTTTAACCAGGGATGTGGTGCTGGGAAACCTCTTAACTACTCAACCCTGAGTTTGCCGATCTGTAATATAGGCCCAGTCATACCTTTCAGGGCTTTAGGGGAAGACCGGGTTTACAAGCATTTGTGTAAAAAAAAAAAAACTACTTATTTCATAATATATGTTCCGTACCTGGTAACTATCATTACATTTGAAAAATTAAATTAAAATGTATAAAAATAAAAGAACTGTTTGCAAATTTTATTTTTCACTAAATTTTTCAAGTTTATGGGAAACAACATAAACTGTGTGTTATGAATGAACACTTTTGAATATCTGGTTAATGGACTAGCCCATTTAGCTGTGTCGACAAAAAGATAATGCTCAAGGTACGAACATCAAACTTAGAAATTTGCTTCCAAGAGTTTGCCTGTGTTCCATACACATAAATGGCTGAATCAGAATAAAAATGCTATTATACATGTTAGTTATCAGCCATTTTAGCTAAACCATAAACAGAAAAAATGAGATGGAATTCTGTGTTATTATTTCTCAGTTAAGCATTTGTCTTGAGCTTGTATTTAGTTAGGAAAGCTGGGAGCAGTTGTTTAATGCCTTAACTCACTTCACAAGTTTGATATCCTTTTTCATATTTTCTTTGTCTGCTAGATGGTGGGCTCCCTAAGGTTATGAGCCATGCCCCTCTTGTCTAGGAGTGTATCTTCATGGCTAGTATATCCTGGGTTCTTAATGAGTACTTGTTGAATAAATGAGATTCCTTTGGTGTGTGTCAGTTCCTGTGACTGGGCAAATAGAATTCAGAATTGGGCACAAACCAAAAATGCTTGTTCTCAAGACTTTGAATTCAACATTTGCTGGATCTCAGCTCCTTCTAGGCTTTTAAAAATTGCTTGAAGCTTGTATTTAAAATGTAACCGACTATTTGTAACAAAGTACTTGATCAGAATTTTTTTTTTCAGAAAGTTAATTGTAATAATTGTAATTGTGCTGGTTGACTGCCTATGTTCCTTTTAGTATCAAGTTCCTTTGGTAAACTATTCATATAATGTTATTTTATAAATGAAAATCCTGAGACAGTTGCATAGGAATGTCATATTTCATCACAGTTTTATACTAACCACAAATAAAACATTTTCCCTTAAGGAAAACAGAGATTTTGTTTTCTATTAAAGTGCCATTCCTTAGGATTTTCTCCTTGCAAAATACCTCTGCATTTTAAGATATTAAAAAAGTTGAGTGGTATAGTGGAAATTCTGGTTGCTTTTTAGCAGTAACTACTACAAAGTAATTATCAAAGAAAATGATTTGCTTTTTTGGCAAGTCATAATCATATTCACTAAGAACTTCATGCCTTCTGTTCCTTATCCAAGTAAGTATATAATTCACTTTCAGCATTTCCACAGTGGTCAAATGAGGAAAATGAATTTAGGATCTGCTGACTCATTTTGAAGCTTTGGGAAAGCCCTCGAACACATGAAGAAGTTCAGTTAGCACTTTGCTGCTTTAGTTGGCAGAGGATGGTGTTTCTGCTACCCACACACCCTGAAAGGAATTCACTTGGGTAGGAAAAGTCAGGATGTTCCTTCTCAGGTAGTCAAAGCAATACTCCCTAGGGGTAGGATGAGACCAAGGCTCCAGGATCCAGTTTACTTGGGGGAAGTTCAATAGCGGGAAAGGAGGCTAGGTCATCTGAGGAGGGACAGCTTTTTCAAAGTGTCTAATAAACACATTTCTTCATCTCATTTTGTTCCTCAGGAAGCTAGAAAAAAGGGATGTAGATGCTTATGTTTTGTAACCATAGCCACCAACAACCTTTTTATCTTCACATGCTTGTAGACTCATTTTTACTAGTTTTTTGAATAACCCTTTAAATTTTAGTAATGGCATTTGAGAATATAAAGTTATTTATTCATCCAGTAAGGGCTGAACATTATTACCTCAAATCATTACCAGATTAAAAAGGCCCAATTAAATAGTGATAAATAGGTGTTTTGGGGGTAATTATATGAAGAAATTGTATAGTATTCTTTTTTCTTTTTTTGTTCATAAACAGCTAATGAAAAGTGATTTCACAGTGAGTGAAGTAGGATGGAGTGCAGAAACCAAGTGTTCATTGTGGACAACTAAAAAGGATATTTTATGTGAGGATTTATGTTTATTGCTGTCACTCTGGTGAATCCTCTCACCGCCCCTGCACCTC